GGGCGGGGGCTCGAGCGGGGACCCCCGAGCGCGAGCCCCGGAGCCCGCGGGCTGGGCCGGAGGGGCCGGGCGGGCGGCGGCGGCGCTGGGCGGCGAGGCCAGGGCCCGGCCCGTCTGCGACTGCGGGACGGCGTGGCCCCGGGCGGCCAATTCGGGCCCGGAGAGGGTCGTCGGCCCGAAGTGGGTTTGTCCCGTAGGCCCAGAACCGGCTCCCCGGGAACGGCGGCCCCGGGAGGCGGAGGAGGAGCAGCCTCCGTCCCGGAGCCTTCGGGAGCCTTGGGGCAGCTCGGCGGGTCCCGACGGGGTAGGTCGGGCGCTTGTGGATCTTCCGGGCGGCGAGAGGGAGCGAGCGGCTGGACTGGGAGGGATGGGCGCTCCCTGGGACTCGGGACTCGTGGGACCCAGGTTTCCCGGGGGCGCAGGGGGCCCGCGCCTCCCCCCACACCCGACACGCCTTGCTCCCCCGGGTTCCCTGTCCTGCTTCCCGACGCGTCTCTAAGCGCCCAGTAGTGTCTGCTGACCCCACTGGGTTGTGCCCTGAGGCATCCCACGGTGTAGCGCCGGACCAGTGTGCGAGGTCCAGGTGCTGCTGCCTGGGTTGACAGGACATTGGGTCTGAGAAGGGAGGTGGCTTGTCCGGGGTGACGGGGTCTGTGGGTGGGCTTGCTCACAGGACTCAGCTGCGGGGCCGGTGTTCTGTCCGCCCTGTTACAGTTTTCTTAGTAAAAGATTCTTACGTGCAGCGATAACGCAGTAAAGTGATACTATTTAAAAACAGAAGCATGCTTTGATGCACATTAATCACTTTAGAGAACTACTGTTCTCTGTTCCTGTGGGTACTTCGATTTTAAGCAATTTGAAGGGTCAGTAAGAAAATACGTAAACTGTAAGAAGAGGGTTTTTTTCAACATTAATGAAGGCAAGCTATTTGAAAAATGAGTCGAAGTTTATGTTAACCAATGAGAGTAACCCATCTAATCACCTCCTGATATGTGGGGTGACAACAGTTCTACTCTTTGTTTCTCCTTTCTCACAGTTTTAGCCCCTTCTGAGTGTTCACAGGATATGAGCTTTCTTTGGTGGTTATTATGCAGGATGTTTCTGACTTCTTTATTTCTTCTGCTTCCCTAGGTCCACTGTTAACAGTCTGTATGCTTTTCCAAGAGCAGCAGAAAATGGATGAATCCCAGGTGAGTGTTCCTATCTCTGTATATGTTCCCTTGCTTGGTTTTGTAATGCATTTCAGGAGGTTTATATGGATCCAGATTTTAAAATGGAAATGTGGGAATAAAAGACATTATCATGTAAAGTACTATCATGTAAAGTACTGTCTAAAGACAGTATCATGTAAGTTATTAGGGGGTCAGATCAGCACCCAGAGTCTTTTTTCAAGTTCGTGTGTGCAAACAGTAGGTTACCTCAGGGCTGTGGGGATAGAGCTACACATATGACTGATGTTCCTGACAGTCGCAGAAAAGGAGAGTACTGCCCATTACGTGATTTGAATTGACTGTTTTTTTACCTGTGGGTTTTCAAGATTTCCTAGGACTTGAGAAAATGTCTTTGTTGAAATTGATGTTATTGTGGGTAGCTTTCCTAATAACAACCATTAAGTCATTGCAACATATGGCTTATACTTGTTTATCTAAGCCAAGGGCCTGCTGTGTATAATTTTTCCAGGCAGCAAAATACCCTGATCCAAGGAGACATATTTTCATTGTTACTGTTTGATCCAGGGATAAAAGCAAAGTCTGAGGGAATGGCCTGCTCATCCTTCAGATGCTTCTGTTACTGTTCATTTGGGTTGTGCAGTAAATAATACAGCAAGGTATTCTTTAGCAAATACGTCCTCACTCCCATTCCTGTTTCAATTCTCAGCATCTTGGTTTTGTCCTCACCCCTCTCCTGAATGTGTTGGCAAAGATTAACAGTGACCTAATTACGGTCAAGTCCATCGGACACCTTCCAGCCCTTACCTCACAGGACCACGCATCTGACTCTGAATACCTTTCTTTCTTAATATATAATATCTGCTGTTCAAAGTTTCACCGTTTTCTGAATGTTTTGGGGTTCTTTTCAGTCAGGGTACACATAGAGACCACACTTTGTGGGGCAGGGAGGCGATGGGGGCTGTTAAGTCTTAAATCTTTTACTAGTAGTTCCTCCGGTATGTCTTTTGTGTTACTATGTAACTTACGTTTGAAGAAAATGGTTTTATCCTCTGTTTCCCGTAGTCTGGATTGTGTTTACCACATTGCCATCATTTTAACTTTATAACACTTTTTTTTTTATTAATTCCTTAGATGCCTTATGAGATTGGTAGTTACACAATGAATCATGAAACACTACATCAAAAACTAAAGATGTATGATTAACATAACGATGAAAAATTAAAAAAAATAAGATTGGTAGTTAGCTCTGCAAGTTTACCCATTTCTGTTCAGTTCTTTTGGGAAGACTTTGTTGCCCATGACACTTGTCTGCTTTCTTCCTGTCTTTGTTTTTGTGATGTTAGCATCCATTGGTTGATGTTCGTTGCCAAGATCCCTGGATTCTTTAGGGGAGACAAGGTGGTGCTGTGCTGCTTTGCCATTTCTTCCTCATTCACTGGCTAGAATACTTTCCTAAAGAAAGATAACTCTTTAATTGGTTTTGTGGTTCATACAGAAAAGGTAATTTTCACAATACTGAGTAGGCTCCTGAGCAACTGAGATGTTTGTTTCATTTTGTTATCATTATGAGCTCATGGGTTTACACGTGTTTTAAGTATTTCAGTACATCGAAGTTGTTACTCTCTTTGATGCCTAAGTGGTTCTGTCTTTGACCAGAGAAATCCCTTCAGATTGGTTTGAGTCCTTTTGAAACATCCAATATATATATATATATATATATATATATATATTTTAAAGATTTTATTTATTTTAGAGAGAGTGCACGTGCACTTGTGCCAGAGAGAGGTCATGAGCAGGGGGAGGGGCAGAGGGAGAAGCAGACTCCCCGCTGAGCAGTGAGCCCGACATGGGGGCTGTATCCCAGGACCCTGGGATCATGAGCTGAGCCGAAGGCAGATGCTTAACGACTGAGCCACCCAGGCGCCCAAGATATTTTCTTTTTTAAAAGATTTCATTTATTTGAGAGAGCGACCAAGAGAGTTCGAGTGGGGCAAGGGGAGGGAAGAGCAGAGGGGAGGGAGAAGTAAGCTTCCCGCTGAGCAGGGAACCCAATGGCGGGGCTCTATCCCAGGACCCTGGGATCATGACCTGAGCCAAAGGCAGACGTTTAACCCACTGAGCCACCCAGACGCCCCTGAAACATCTCCTGTATATGTGATAACATTCATTTTTATTCAGTGTTTTATTTTGGAAAAACTTCAAACTTACACAACAGTTGCAAGGATCATAGAGGACTCCCATGTTCCTTTTGCCCACATACTCCAGTTTTTGACATCTCCCCACATTTGCTTTATTATCTCTGTGTATGTACATATTTCTTACCTGAATCGTTTGAGAGTGGATGTCCCTTTTCAGATTGTACCTCCTAAGATCAAAGGTGTTCTCTACTGAATTCAGGAAATGGAATATTATAATATTTTTATCTAATCTACAACTTCTCTTCTGATTTTACCAGTTTTGCCAGTAATTTTCTTTATAGTAATTTTTAATTTCTGGTAGACGATCCAGGCCAGGGTTGTGAATTGCATTTAGCTTTGATGCTTTTCAAGTTTGTTTATGGCAGTAGTTTTTTTTTTAAGATTTTATTTATTTGACAGACAGAGACAGAGACAGGGAACACAAGTGGGGAGTGGGAGAGGGAGAAGCAGGCTTCGCGCTGAGCAGGGAGCCTGATGCGGGGCTCGATCCCAGGACCCCGAGATCATGACCTGGCAGGCGCTTAACCAACTAAGCCACCCGGGAGCCCCGCGACAGTAGTTTCTTAACGGCATTATAATATTTGAAGAATACAGGACAGTTATTTTATAGAATTCTTTGAAGTTAGGTTTCCCTCATATTTCTTCGTGATTAGATTTAGATTGTGAATTTTCTGCAGGAATACTCCATGAAATCACTCCTTTTAAATTTATGGCCCAGAATAGGGTCCCTCTTGGGAAGTTCCACATGTGGTTTTTTTGTTGTTTTTTTTTTAAGATTTATTTATTTATTTATTAGAAAGTGCGTGGGGGTGGAAAGGGGCAGAGGGAAAGAGAGAATCCCAAGCCGATTCCACCGAGTGCAGAGCCCAATGCAGGACCTGGTTGGCCCCGATCCCAGGACCCTGAGATCATGACCTGAGCTGAAACCAAGAGTCAGACCCCCAACCAACTGAGCCACCCAGGTGCCCCCTAGGTGCAATAGTTATTTTTTCAGGAATAAGAAAATAACATAGTTATCATTTCTAGGTACTCTTCATTTCTTGATATAGATACAGATTTCTATCTGCTGTCACTTTCCTTCTGCCTGAAGGACTTCCTTCAACACTTTCAGTTCTTTTTCAAATTTTATTTAAATTTTAGTGAACATGTGCTTGCAAAGATTGCCTATTCTGCTCTTGGTTGGAAAAGTTCGATAAAGGTCGATCCCATTAAATTAGTAGTGTTGTTCAAGTGAGCTGATTCCTTGCTAATTTCCTGCCTCCTTGTCCTCTTGTGCTGAGAGAAGGAAGTTGAAATCTCCTGCAACTGTGGTTTGTCTATCGCAATTCTATCGGGTTTTGCTTCATGTTTTTTGTTAGGTACATAAACATTTAAATTGTTATGTCCTCTGGATTAAGTAACCATCTTGCCATTGTGAGGGGGGCTTCTTTACCCCTGGTAATATTCGGTGCTGTGACGTGGACTTTTTTCTGATGTTCATGCAGCCACTCCAGCTTTCTTTTGAGTAGTGTTGGCATCTGAGTCCATCCCTTTACTTTTAACCTGTTTCCATCTTTATACTTCAAGTGCATATAGTTGGATCTTGCTTTTTTTTTTTAATCCAATCTGACCGTTTCTGCTTCTTAATTGGGTTGCTTGGACCATTTACACGTAATACGATGATTGATATAACCGATTAGGTCGTAGTCTGGTTTTGTTTTCTCTTTGTTCATCAGCTTAGTTTCTTTTTTCTTCTTTTGTCTTCCTTCCTTTTGATTGATTGTGTGTATTTTATGATTCCATTTTACATGTTTTGGGGGCTTGTTAGCTCTAACACTGTTGTTATTTGTGATTGCTTTGGGGTTTATAGTATGCAGCTTTAATTTATCACAGCTTATCTTCAGGTAATGTACCGTTGATTGCTGAGAATGTAGGGAGCTTGTCACTTCCATTTCTCCCCTCTGGGTCATTATGCT